TAGGAATATGTTTAACTAATGTTGATGCTTGCGTCTTCTATTTTGATTATTTTTCCATTTTTGTTTATATATGTTTTATCTCGGTTCACCCCTCAATGTAGGCCCAAGAAGTAAATAAAGGTTGAATGAATGAATGAAAAAAGCCAGCAATTCTGTGTGTGTAAATGTCATCAGTCTACTCACAGCAATCTACTCTGGCTGAAAAGAGAAATGTTTTTGAATGGGACGGTAGTCAGCTAGTGGGATCTCTTGTTAGGTCTTGACCACCCACCACCTGGTGGGATTGCTTTCACAACAGCACAGCATGCAGACAACAGGCTTATATGAACCTGGGTGTTAACTCACAAAACTGAAGATACATACATAAATACCTCAAAGGTAGCATCTGATGGCCCCACAAATCCCACTGTGTGTTTGAACAGTTTTAAAACAGCAATGAACTTGGTAGGAAATGTTTGGGTTTCTGGCTCCTACACTGTACATAAAGTACGCAGTGCTGCCAAAACTCGCACGCAGAAAAAGCAGCTGGTGTTAATATAGGCTGCTACAGCCTCAATGTAAACAGGCTCAATACATGAAACGAAACCATTAAACCAGTCTGAGCTTGAAAAGCAAGAACAGCACTTTGGTGGTTACCCTTGTTTTTTAAGGTGATGCTAAAAACTTAGAAAACAGTATCCAGGAATAATTACAGATGTATCCATATTATTTGGAACAAATTAAATGTAAATCACCACAGATAATGGCCAGGATAATACCTTCATTCTACAATAAAAGCTCTGTTTACATTGAATTAGAAACAACCAACCTATAAACTACTGTATTAAAGTTCTGATATGTAACATTTCCTCATTAAACAATGTATAAACTCTAGAGCTATGTTCTATATCTAGTTGAGTTTTGTCCTTACATTATCCCAAATGTTTCCATTTGTGCCTGTCAATGGCGTCATATCCATTTTGTGCCTGCGTCAGTGTTGTGGTTGTCTGCCAGAAGCTGTCATACATTGACTGTTTATCCAGTCTGAAGGCCACATTGTTACCAACCAAACTGGTTTAGATCTTTGGTGGGCTTTTTAAACTCCTAATTTGAACCGGATGAAGGATTTTAGTCCATCGGAGCCCCGTCTGGATCTTAAGCACTTCCAGGAGCAGGAGGTGCGCTAGAGAACAAGCTCGAGACCTATACCGAGTTGGCAGCAACTCGAGTCTATCGGCTAGGCCCACTAAACTTTCAGTGTCTCATAGTCATATGCGAGCGCACTCACAGCAGCTCAGATTTCTGAGAAAACCCCGGACACACAGCACATTCATAGTGTCTATTATCTGCACAGCCGTGTACAGTTGACCGCATCTCACTGCAAAAGTTCAGGAATGCTTTTGGTGTTGCTTATAGGAATGAGTCTTTATGTAAGAGAAAATCCTTGCATCTGGTTCCCAAATGATCACTGCAACACCAGTGCTAGGCTGCATATTAAGTAGTATTTCACTTCTCCGTATAGAAAGTAGATCATGCTCAGTGTTTGTAATACTTCCCCATGTTTACTTCATCTTAGATATTGTTATGCAGATTGGATGGAGTACTTTATCCCTTTAGTGTCACTGTGTTGTGAGGCAAGTGTAAATCAATTAGTATTTTTCAGAGATGTTATATACTATATTGCTCAGGTCCATTAGAGGATATCAGGGCGAATGCGCTTGGTCCTCGGATATCCCATTTTTATATTTTTGAGTACAGATTTAGAATTGATCCATCCACTCGAGTCACCTTATCTATGGTTAATGTTGATGATTATGAAAAATAGATTTGCAAGATATTCAATGAGAATCATGCAAAAAGAGAGTGTTCTGAATGTAAAAGTTGTGCACTCTGAAAAGAGAGGATACAAATGAAAAGATGCCTAAGACAATTATGATTGTTGTTTAACCATAAGCTTAACTGTAAACTGATTCTATAGCTTAAAGCAAATCGCTTGCCCAAATTGTCTTTTCAGCTGCATATTACCGGTGAACATGCTGTAATGCAGTAGCTGAATTTACCCTATCGTCCAAGATGAGTTTCAACCGATGGAGTGAGCGATGTATAACATAAAAAACTATTTGTAAAATCCTTCATTCTATATTAAGTACGTTCAGGCTAAACCATGAGCATTTAATGGATAGGGAATGTATAGGGAAGCCCCTTCTAGTATTTTAATTATAGCTTTTAACAAAATAAAATCAAAATAAAACAATAGAATCCAATTGAGGGAGATCCGCCATAATAAAAAGACTCTCCTTTGTCTTGCCTTAATGTTCCATAATTTATATTAAACTTTTTATGTCAAATCTTGTGAGCTTATTAGTACAATGTCTGTTTTATTCTGCCTACCAATGCGAGTTTAATTGCGCTAACAAAATAGTAGCACATCTTTATTATGGGTGGTTTTTAGGGTTGAAAATTTTCCTCACATTACTGTTATCAATAACACCACCTGTGTCTGTATTCCGATAGTTCTTGTAAAAGATATATTTAACATTTAATGCATGAGGAGGGGAATTCCCTTGGTACAGCCGTATGTGATTTCCCTACTTCTCTGGTCTAGCATTTTTGGAACTTGAACGGGGAAGCACTACTTTCTCTTTAGAATCCTTTTCC